TAAGGTAATGTTTCAGTCTCATTACTTTTCCCTTTTTCCTTTTTTTTTGTTTTTTTGGTCGGTCGTGGGGCTCTATCCCTGAGCTCTTCAGCTCAAGGTAAGCACTCTTGAGCCACAGTGCCACTTCTGGTTTTCTGGTGGTTAACTGGAGATAAGAATCTCATGGACGGGCTAGGAAGTTGGTTGGCTCAGTGGTCTAGAGCGCTTGCCTTGCATACCTGAGGCCCTGGATTCGATTCCTCAGCACCACATAAGCAAAAAGAAAAAAGCCGGAAGTGGTGCTGTGGTTCAAGTGGTAGAGCACTAGCATTGAGCTGAAGAGCTGAGAGACAGCGCCCAGGCCCAGAGTTCAGGCCCCACAACTGGACCCCCAAAAAAATCTCATGGACTTTCCTGCCCGGGCTGGTTTTGATCCATAATCCTCAGATCTCAGCCTCCTGAATAACTAGGATTAGAGGCAAGAGCCACCAGCACCTGGCTCCTTTCCTTCTTGATTCAACCTTTCCAGTTTATAGTATAGACACTGTATAATCCCTACATGCCTGAACTTTTGTTCCAATGATATCCATCCCAGGCAAGCCTATTCCTGTTTCTTTTTGGACCACCATCTCCAGCCTGGTCAGCTCATTCCCACTCACTGCAAACCCCCCCCCCTTACTTCTGAGGTAATTAGGTTTACATGGATAGATCTCCCTGTCCCGGTGGCTGTCCTGGGTTCCAATGTCAGCTGACTGCCATGATGATGAAAAAAAACTAAAATACAGTCTTCTCTCCTTTACCACTTTGGCTTGGTGGGAGATTTTAGGGACTAGACTAGACAAAATGCATGCATCAGGGAAGTCATCACTGTAAGAGTTTAGATGGCCTTGTTGACTCTGTGCCTTATTAAATCCTTGTTAATCTTCTAAAACATGTATTTCATCACATCATTCCCTTACTCAAGATCTTACTGCTCTCAAGTTCTCCCTAGGTGTTCTGCAAATCACAGCAATCCCATAAAGGGTTGATTCATCTAGAAACAAGAGTAGGAAATTAGGTTCAGAAGAGCCAAAAATCTATAGAGGTAAAAAGTAGACTTAAGTGGGCTCAAATTTTTTCTTGAAGGTGTTTGGGAGGTAGAAAGTTGGTAGAAGAGGAAACAGATGACATTATCAGCAGGGATGTTAACCTCTAGTTTCTGTAAAAATGGGTTTGTCCCTAATAAAAATGCAAGATTCTGGAACCTAAGAAATTTCCTCAGTATCATCTTCAAAGGAGGTCATTAGACCAAGAACTGGGCACTACTCACGTCTGCCAGGTAAACACAGACTATGTCTTATCAGCAGCCTCTCCATGTTAGTGGGATGCAAAAGAAAGGATTATAAAGGTCCCTTTAAAACAGGTTGAGGGCTGGGAAGGTGGCTCAGTGGTAGAGCACTTGCCCTGCATGCCTGAGGCCCTGGGTTCGATTCCTCAGCACCACATAAGCAGAAAAAAAAAGCCGGAAGTGGTGCTGTGGCTCAAGTAGTAGAGGGCTAGCCTTGAGCTGAAGAGCTGAGGGACAGCGCCCAGGCCCAGAGTTCATGCCCAAGACTGGACCAAAAAAAAAAAACAACAACATAAAACAGGCTGAATCTGGTTTTGAAGGAGGAAATATGTTCTTAAGAGAAAGAAGGCTTTTGGGGAATGGGTGTGTATGGTATTTCCATTTGGTATATGGTGCGGGGCGGGGGGGGGAAGGGTAAACAAAGGAGGAGGCTGCAATGCTTGATAAGAAATGTACGCATTATCTTGCCCATGTAATTGTAACCCCTCTATACAGTATGTTCACAAAAAATAAAAATTAAAAAAAAAAGATTTCTTTTCTTTAGATGACATGTTTAACTGGCCAGGATGAGGTATTGAAGTTTCTTACTATTATTGTGCTGGCTCTATCAGTGCTTTTAAGTCCGCAAGTGTTTGTCTAATGAATGTGGGAACACTGTTATTTGCTGCAGTTATGTTAATTGTTATTTTCTCTTCATGGATCATTCTGTCTTAACAAGAATATGTAGTCTCTTACTGGTTTTAACTTTTTTTGGGGGGTAGGTGGGTCATGGGGCTTGAACTCTGGGCCTGGGCCCTGCCCCTTAGCTAGCTCTCAATGACTTGAGCCATAGCACCACTTCCGGTTTTCTAGTGGTTTATTGGAGATGAGTCTCACACTTTCCTGTCTAGGCTGGCTTTGAACTGAAATCCTCAGATCTCAGCCTCCTGAGTAGGTAGGATTACAGGCATGAGCCTGGTTTTAATTTTAAATCTTTTAGGATCCATTTTCATGGAAGATCTGTATCCACACTTTTTTTTTTTTTTGGGGGGGTCCGGTTGTGGGGCCTGAACTCTGGGCCTGGGCACTGTCCCTCAGCTCTTCAGCTCAAGGCTAGCGCTCTACCACTTGAGCCACAGCGCCACTTCCGGCTTTTTTCTTATGTGGTGCTTAGGAATCGAACCCAGGGCCTCAGGCATGCAAGGCAAGCGCTCTACCACTGAGCCACCTTCCCAGCCTGTATCCACACTTTTACCCTAACTTGTGTTCATCTTTGTCAGTAAGATGTTTCTTATAGGTAACAAATGGTTGGATCCTTTTGTGTGTGTGTCCATTTTCAAACCCCAGAAGTGGGGCTTGAACTCACTGCCTCTTACTTTTGCTTAGCTGTTCCACTCAAAGCTGGCACTCTATTACCTGAGACATATTTCTGGCTTTTTGCTTGTTTATTGGCAATAACATTTCTTGGATTTGTGTTCCCAGGGTGTCTTTGAACAGTGATCCTCAGAACTCAGCCTTCTGAGTAAGACTACAGAAGTAAGCTATCAGGGATTGGCTTTGGATCTTGCTGTTCTACAACTTGGTTTGCCCAGGCTGACTTTGAACCACTATCTATCTAATCTGTCTCAGTAGCTAAGATTATAGGTGTGAATCACTGGTATCCAATGTTTTACATTTTCTGAAGAGTTGAAAATGCCTGTAATCCCAGGAGATATAGGTAGGAGGGTTCACAGGCTACTTGGGCAAAAAGCACAGGACTATAGGCAAAAAGCACACAAACATATGCACAGAGATGTAACTGAAGTTCACTGTATAGCATATCTATTCACTAACTATATTGAAGGACTGGAGAGTTGGTAGTTTCTATAGTAGGAACTTAAAAGGAAAAGAAGCTCCAGGGTTAGAGGCATGGTTCAGGTGGTCAGATGCCAGACAACAAATGCATCAGATGAAGAGACCTGGTCTTAGACAGAAAAGTCTTTAAAATACAGTACCTCAGTGTTCAAGCATTTTATTAAATCAGATAAGGAATCTCCACATTGTTGCACATACAGGCTTGTATACAATAATAAGGGCATGTCTCCTGTTTACAAAGACACAGTTGAGCATTAAGTTGACAAATCGAAAATTCAAAGAACACAGTGACGCAAGTTCTAGAGCAATGAAACAATGAATCATGACACGGCTCATTCAATTTATCCTTTACCTTTAAAAACAATGTCTTTAACAAGAGAAAAATCTGAAGATGAACAGACTGTCCACGGTCAGATACATATTTCATTCAGGAATATTGAGCCTCTAATTACTTTCTGTCTTGTTTGACTGAAAATAACTCAACTTTCACTAAGAGTTAGTTATTTTGGGTGGTACTAGGTTTGAACTCAGCATTTGTTAGGTAAATGCTCTACCACTTGAACCACATTTCAGGAATTAGGGGTTCTTGAAGAGGCTTTATTATGGTAATATGTGTTTTTATTATGCTGAAGTCACTGAGCATGTGTGCATGATACCCAACCAGGAATCCTAGCCTGACCTTTCCACTTGGGTACAGTAGTATAAGGTAAAACATTGTGAAGATTAAAGACACTGAGAAGCACAACATGGTGAGGCTATAGAATAATCTAAGGTTCCAAAATGGTCTTAGGAACGTTAGAGGCCCAAATGACTTTTCACTGGCAGTTTTGAACTGCCTTATGACAAACATTGCTCATTAGCAGGTTTATAAGGATGGCTGATGAGAAGGCAAAACTGATAACTTCCAACTTACTTGTTTGTACCTTTCCTAATTTATACCTACCACAGTAATGGGCAAGATCCTTTTGCAAGGTTTGCTTTCCCATACCCTTCTATCCTGCTACCTCAAACCTATATACCTTCTTCCCCTGCTTTAAGCTAAAAGATCAATGCTGGACTCAAACTTGCCTGAACTAAGTTTATAGAAGATAACATGCAAAAACGGGATAGGGTTAAATTCATTTATCAGTAGCAAACATTATAAACGTATGCTGCTTTCCCACTAAACAGAAGACCTGGAGAAACCACAAAGATAACAAAACACCCTTATTAAGTTATAATTCTACTTTACAGCAGTTAACTTTACCCATCAATGTTTAATGACCACAATGTTTCTGCAACTAAAACTAAGAGTTCTAGGGAGTTGGGAATACATGTTAGATACTAACGATCTTCAAGCTTTGAAGATGTCATTGCATGAAGAAAATTATGGGAAACACTGTCCCCGATAATTACGTACACCCTTAGTGTAACATATGGAGATCACTGTCTCCGATATAGACACTGTGGTAGGCAAAAACTACCTTGTTCTTTATACATTATGGAAGACACTGCTCCCGATAATGTCAGTTAGGTTTGTGACAAAGGTACTGGAAATTTTGCAAAACTAGAATTTGTTACACCTTGAATAAATTGAGATATAAAATTTTGTATCATAAGTTCTACCACAGCCTTTTATTTATAACTTGGTCACAATTCATTGCATTTAGAAGAATTATCATTTTATCTGACAAGCTAAACAGAAGTCTCACTTCATGGGCAATCCCTATATATAAATACTTTCCAATTTAAATAATTTAATTCTTTTGCTTCTCATTTTATTTGGCTTGTGGCTGTTTTCTAAAATTCTCGAATATTGACCATAAGTGCAAAACTTCCAGTATCTGTTGGGTTTTATTAGCAGATGCTGCTTTTATTAAAAAAAAAACGACAGTATAACTGTCATAATTATGGAAGGCACTGCTTCCGATAATTATCTTCTATTAAAAAAAAACACCATTTATAGTGAACTCTGTCACTGATAAATAAACAATAAATATCTCAGTGCCAAAACGATAGAAAGCTTTTCCAGAAGATTAACACTTTGGCCAAATTTGGCATTGTGTTCTTTAAAGTATGACAAACTGAGCCTGAAATTAAATGCCTATAGCTGGTTCTTTTTCAGAATACTTGGGGGAAAAAAAAGAGCTAAATAAAGGCTATGGTGCAGAGGTCACTGGGAGAGAAAATACACTAAGTCTTTGGCTTCTGGTCTCCTCTTTTCATAAATAACATGGAGGTTAGCACATTGAGGCCTTATTCCTGCATGTGGAACCTCATTTCAACCAGTGGAAAGGACCTCAATGGCAAGAAAACAGGTCCTCTCTCTTCTGTAAGGTAACTGTTTCATTCAGGGATGTGGAAACCAGCTAAATTCTTATGAAAGGGCATATATTTCATTTGGAGAATAAGGTCTTACAACCTGACATCTCCTTTAGCATTAATTGAAGATGGAGGACCACACTAATATACCACTTTCAATGTTCAAGAGATACTATGTTCTTCTTCCCACCTAAAGATACCAGCTCATGTCCTTAGAAATTAGAGCAATAGTACATGTAACCGGTTCTAACATTTTTGTAAGTATGACGCAAAGAGGCAGATAGAATTACAAAGCACGTAAGATTCTAGAGATAATCTGAGAAGATATTCTGTCATGAACATAGTGGTTATTCACTTTAACTTAGAAGTGCAGGTACCTACCCTGTATTAAAAGCTGCTGCCTAAAGACATCTAGTAGTAGTCAAGATGACTGGATAGAATTTTAACAGGTTTTGTAGCTCTACAGAAAATTTAGTACAACCAAAACAAGTCTCGAAATAGACTATCCTATTCATACTTAAGCTATTGGGATCACCTTTAAAATGCATTGTCAATATCCCAAATGTCACCAGCCAGGGCATTTGCAGCTCCTTGAATAGTCCATGTAGCTAGAGCCAACTGGTTTTTGAACAGCGTTTCATTAAAAGCACCGTTATTTTTCTGACGCAACTTCAAGTGCTCCAGTAAAGCTGAGAGAGTGTGAGAGCCAGAACCCCAGAAGATGTGTCGGAAGGGGGTATCTTTTGGAGATACATACGGTGACAGGAAGTGGTACTCCACCTATGAAGACACAGACAGACAAGACAGCTTGTAGTGTGCTGTAGCCTGGGGAAGGGCCCAATACATTAAGACAGATGTTACTGTCACTTCAACTGTTACAATCCCCCTGAATCTGAGAACATTGAGAACCAAGCTATTAATCCTCTAAGTTAAAAACTCTAAAGCAAACCATCAATTCCTTTGTTAAGTGAAGTTTAAATGGTTTTAATTATTGAAATATTTGGTTGGAACAGATATGAAAAGTTTTAACATAGCCTTTGTTTCTCCAAGCAAATCAGGATAAAGTACTTAAAAGACCTTAGGCAACAGAAACTAGTGGTAGCTAAGGTTATAGCTACTGATGCCCAGTAGTTCCTTCTTTTCTATGAGTTTACTTACTTTCATGATTCGATTATTGATTTCCCTCATGACAAATCGGTTTGTTTTCTCAGCATTATGGAAATCTGCTGTTAGTCTGGAAGTAGCACGGTAAAAGTCTCCACGAGCTGAATACAACCACTGTAGACTCAGGCCCATCTCCTGATACAGGAAGATATTAAATTCACTATTAAGATACTATTTTATATGCCATTTTAATTCAGATTTGACAATTAGAATACTAATGAAAGAAGTGACTCACAAAGTTGAAAAGCTAGGCCTAAGCACCCTATAGCAGAGGCCAAAACAATTATTTAAAAAATCAAAATAATGGAATTGGTGCTGTGGCTCTTTGCCTTGAGCTGAAGAGCTGAGAGACAGTGCTTAGAGTTCAAGCTCCATGATCGACCAAAAATAAACAAATCATCAAAATATTTAGGCAAAGCACATATTGTTTTATTGGGCTCACAGGTCCTAGCTATTCAGGAACCCGAGATCTGAGCTCAGAGATAGTGCCCGGACCCAGAGTTCAAGCCCCAGAACTGACACACTGACACACACATGTGCGTGTGCACACACAAAGTAACTAAAACTGGTTTAATACTACAACTATGAAAATGGAACAATGAAACCTGTCGGAAAAGTTTTTTTTTGTTTTGTGGGGAAAGGGCAAGGAAGGTAATAGAAGAGGTAAAATTGGAATATAGTGTGAACATGTATGGAAGTGTAACAATGAAATCCCCCTGTATAGCTGCTATGGTAACCCACAGCCTACCAATTTCTTTTCAAATGTTATGGATTCTAACCTGATTTATGTAACTGTAACCATGCTGTACATCACCTTTACAGTAACAACTTAAAGAATGTTATGGATCTAAGCAAGGCAATACTTCAGTTAACTTTGAAATCTACTTTGGGCACATCACAGTTCAATCCTCTGCTATGCAAAACAAAAACAAACACCAAAATCACAACAATCCCATTCGTGGGTCAAAAAGATAACCTGTACTTTCCTATTTCTTACCCTTAAAGAATGTATAAAGAAACTGTGGCTGGTACATACATATGCCACAATATGAGTAACTAGAGATAATTATGTCTTTAGCAAATATGCCAGGCACACAAAGACAAGTACATTGTATCTCACTTATATGTGCAAGATACATGATCTACTGGGGCATGGCAGTACATGCCTATCATTATAGTACAGAAGAGGCTGAGGTAAAAAATTACGAATTCAAGGTTCTGACAAGCAAAAGAAAAAGTTGGTTTTCATAGTAGTAGAATAGTAACAGTAGTTATATAAGGCTAGAAAGACTAAAAAAAGGGAGGAAAAAATTGGGAGAATGTAAATGGGTACTAAATAACAGTTTTAGAAAAGATAAGAGATTCTGGTCCGCTACAATAGAATGAGCATAAAGGAATTTTACACTTTCACTATTATAAGCAATGATAAATGGTGAGAATGTAGTTTTCTTTAAATCAAATTAAAGATAATTTAAGTTAAATCCATTTCAATTAGTACTCACCTTTATGTCTGCTTGGAATTGGTTCAGATCCTTCATGTATGAAAGTAGTCTGTTGTTATACATCTCATAATCCAGGTCCAATTCAATATCATGGGTGAGTTTAATCATGAACTGACCAGCCACTTCTGCTGCAACATGCATCAAGGCGGTCAGCTGAGGAACACTCTGAGTCAACATCTCTAAGGTATCCAATTTAGTATTCAAATAAGGGTAATCATTGTCCTGGAAAACAAAGAGACACTACTGTACTCATGGTTAGCAGAGTAGAAGCCCCATTCTGGCTTCATCAAAGTAAGATACTACACTCCTCCCATATTTCTAGTAATATCTCATCCCACTTTTATTTCCTATCTGCTGCTTTAAGATGACATCATCTCTCTAATCCACTTCTGTATCCTCAAAAGATTTCTAGCCAAATACCTTGAAGCTGTATCCCTTGTTTTCTCTGGGAAATTTGGCTCATTTTTTTTTTGGGGGGGGGGGGTCCGGTCGTGGGGCCTGAACTCTGGGCCTGGATGCTGTCCCTCAGTTCTTCAGCTCAAGGCTAGCGCTCTACCACTTGAGCCACAGCGCCACTTCCGGCTTTTTTTTGCTTATGTGGTGCTGAGGAATCAAACCCAGGGCCTCGAGCATGCAAGGCAAGCGCTCTACCACTGAGCCACCTTCCCAGCCCAAATTTGGCTTATTTTAATGGTAAAGAAGAGAATGTATCCAGTGTAATGATTCAATAATCATGAAGCACTTGGGTCTTCCATACATGTTACTTTTCAATACACTGATGTTTCTTTAGGCAACTTTAGTAACTGTTTTTTACTCTAGCTCTATACCCTACTATTGTTCTTGTGAATCTCATTAACATTGTATACTTCTGACTGCATCTCTTAACCAGTACTATTAGATTTCTGACATCTCAAACTACATTTAAATGTTTCAAAAAAACATGATTTCCAATGATCACAGAAATCAAACAGAATGATGAAACTTTATATACTGAAAAGCTCAAGTGAGCTGGGTGTTCACCAGTACCTCACAGCGCTCATGCCTGTAATCCTAGCTACTCAGGAGGCTGAGATTTGAGGATCCAGGTTTGAAGCCAGCCAGCGCAAGAAAGTCCATAAGACTCTTATCTGCAATAAACTACTCAACAAAAGCCAGAAGTGGTGCTGTGGCTCAAGTGGTAGAGCACTAGCCTTGAGTACAAAAGAAGCTAAGGAACAGTGCCTAGGTCCTGAGTTTAAGCCTTAGGACAAGTAAAAAAAAAAAAAAGCTCAAGTTAGTAAGCTGCCCCTTACATGAGATCTTGATGGGGAGAGATCATAGCATTAGAGTAAGGGAGTAGCATGGAAGCTGTTGACTTGGCATCAAATTGTCAGTCCAGTGGAGGCCAAACCCTTTTTAATCACTGGGTATTTTGGCTAAGAAAAGAAGAGTACAAAGGGATGAAAAGTCTGGATTTGGAGATTAGCATGGATGGAATTATCTTGACCTTCTGCTAGCAGTAGTATGAAGAATATTAAAATAGACATATGCTTTCTAATGGGTTTTCATGTCAAGTTGATCTTATTTACTACAATGTAGTCAGCTCAAAGTTTTCTCTCGTGACAACCCTACAATTATTTGATTTTTGTACTTTTACTTAATTACTGCTTAAGAACATTTTTAGACAAATACTAGAATATTTTGAACAGGTACCTAGAACTTCTTTGATGGAAATATTCTATACCTACACTATCAAAGTCTAGTACCACAGGAAGAAAATCTGTGTAACTATGTAAGCTAATTTTGTTGTGCACACAAGCACCAGTTCTAGGACTTGAACTTAGGGCCTGGGTGCTGCCCCTTAAGCTTCTTTTGTTCCCTTTAAGACTAGTACTTTACCAATTGAGTCATACAGCTCTGCTTCCAGCACATGTGTGTGTCTATTTAACTGGAGATAAGTCACATGGACTTTTCTGCCCAGATATAAGATAATTTTTTTAAATTGTGAAAATACCATATAGAGGGGTTACAATTACATGGGCAAGATAATAATGTAAGATAATTTTTTTTCCACAGGTCATGGGGCCTGAACTCTGGGCCTGGGCTCTGTCCCTCAGCTCTTCAACTCAAGGCTAGTGCTCTACCACTTGAGCCACAGCACCACTTCCAGCTTTTTCTGCTGATGTATACTGAGGAATTAAACCCAGGTCCTCATGCATGTGAAGCAAGCACTCTACCACTAGCCACCTTGCCAGCCCTCAATTTTTAAAGCAATTTTGCTTATTAAAATTCACTAAAGTTTTAGAAATAAATTTGAATGCTATTAAGCTAAGTCTGTTACTTGCTCCCAAATAAAAGATGATATAATGCATAATGCTCCAGAGCTCTTGTTCTTTAAACTTACCTCACAAAAACAGAAAGAAACTGCTGGAATTCCAGAATATGCAAGGAAAGGGAAAGCAGCATTATCGTAAGACAATTTCTCCCTGCAAGGAAAGGGAAATGTATCTTCAGAATCTTTCTTGCCAGGTGCTAGTGGCTCACGCCTGTGATCCTAGCTACTCAGGAAGGCTGAGATCTAAGAATCATGGTTCAAAGCCAGCTCGGGCAGGAAAGTTGACTCTTTATCTCCAAAACTACCAGAATACTGGAAGTTGTGCTGTGGCTCAAGTGGTACAGCGCTTGTCTTGAGCTGAAGAGCTCAGGAACAGCATCCAGGCCCAGAATTCAAGCCCCATGACCAGAAAAAAAGAAAAAGAAAGTGCTGGGAAGGTGGCTCAATGGTAGAGCGCTTGCCTTGCTTGCATGAGGCCCTGGGTTCCATTCCTCAGCACCACATAAGCAAAAAGAAAAAAAGCCGGAAGTGGAGTTGTGGCTCAAGTGGTAGAGCGCTAGCCTTGAGCTGAAGGGCTGAGGGACAGTGCCCAGGCCCAGAGTTCAGGCCCCACAACCAGAGGGCCCCCCCCAAAAAAAAAAGGAAAAGAAATTTTATTTATTTTTATTGTGAAAATACTGTACAGAGGGGTTACAATTACATGGGCAAGATAATGAGTACATTTCTTATCAAGCATTGTAGCTTCCTCCTTTGTTTCCCCTTCCTATCTCATTCCACTCCGCTCCCCTACCCACAAGAAATTTTTTTTTTGAGTCCGGTCGTAGGGCTTGAACTCTGGGCCTGGGCACTGTCCCTCAGCTCTTCAGCTCAAGGCTAGTGCCCTACCACTTGAGCCACAGCACCACTTCCGGTTTTTTTTGCTTATGTGGTGCTGAGGAATCAAACCCAGGGCATCAGGCATGCAAGGCAAGCGCTCTACCACTGAGCCACCTTCCCAGCCCCCCAAGAAATTTTCTTAAAAAGACATGCTACCATGTAATCCTCCTCCCCTTTGCTCCTACTAAATTTTGAAACAGAATCTATAGCTCACTGCATAGTTAGGTTATCTAATGCAGTAGATCTAACTGGATAATTCTGCTTTTCTATCAAGCTTGCTTTTTTCAAACTTACACTTTGTTGACCCAATTGCTGTCCTGGTATAAAAACTTCCCATTAACTGGATGTCTCACCTGGAAAATTAAAAAATATATGTATCATTAATTATCCTATGGGATAAAATCCAATATTTAGTGCCTTTGTTTTACTCCAACTTTAATATCTATATTATATATGCCTCTAACCTCATGAAGCAAATATTCTTTCATGCACACCTCCCTCAAACTATGGTCATTCATGTTTGTGTTTCCCCAATAAATATATCCTCTGGCCCTATTCAAGTCCATTTAAACCTTTCTTATCATCCCTACTGATTTAGACAATTCCCTGTGGCCTCCTGCATTTTTACATATTCTTAAAACACACTATATATTCTGAGATTAGAGCCCTTTATATACCAGTACCTTCATCTCACATGACTCCACTAACTAGAGAGCAGTAAGCTGAGTATTACTTAAAACTGCTTTAGAATTTACCCATAATTTGTTATTGATAGCTGATAATGGTTTCCATGAAATTTCCATCTGATTTAATTTGACAATTTGTAATTAGGTATGTAACTCAACTCACATTTTGCATTGTCTTCTCAATAAGTTTATACAACAGTGGACTGGCAGAAACCTTGAAGTTTTTGGTACCTGCAAAAAATTTTAACATTACCCTCTTTCTAGTAAAGCAGTCATTGTTTTTATGAGATAGGGTCTCATTATGTAGCCCAATGAGATGTTGGGAGGTTGAGTTCAAGGTTCAGCACCACTATTTTCATAAGTAGTTTACTTGACTTCATAAATAGCTAGTGAAAAGGATTCTTACCTACTACAGCTTTATCCAGATTAATGTAAGTGAAAGCCTTCAAATGCAAAGAGGCAAGGTATCCCTAGAAGAGAAAATAGGTAATCATCATCTAATAAGCATTGACTACTAGTAGCTACTCTACTAGTATTGAAATCTGGAATCTACTAGGATCTATTACACAAAAAGACAGAAGTAGTTGAATGAAACCTAAAGAGTTCAGAAACTCATTCTGGGCAGGAAGGATATATTATAAATACCTCTAGCCATTCAGTGGCACCAACAGCTCCAAAGTCACCAGCACTCCAGCTGGCAAAAATAATGCTTCTAATAGGTTTAAAGCCACCTGAAAGAAAACAAAAAACTTTACAGTTAATATTTTTTATATGCAGTTAGGAAACAGATGATTCAGAAACTTCTAATTCTTTTCTTTTCCTTCCTCAGGTGAAAGAACACTAATTTCCAGTATATGACAGGGACCAACTTAATGACAATCACTCCTTTACAACTCCAATCTTAAACCCTTTAACCTCTAGACCAGGAGGTATTGGAAATCATAGAGTTTGGGTTTTTTTTTTCTTTTCTTTCTTTTTTTTGTATTTTGTCAGTCATGGGCCTGAACTCTGGGCCTGGGCACTGTCCCTCAGCTCAACTCAAGGCTAGCGCTCTACCACTTGAGCCACAGCGCCACTTCTGGCTTTTTCTGCTTATGTGGTGCTGAGGAATTGAACCCAGGGCTTCATGCATGCAAGGCAAGCACTCTACCTGAGCCACCTTCCCAGCTGTCTTTATTTTCTTTTCTTTTTTGCTGGTCCTGGGGCTTGAACTCAGGGCCTGGGTTCTGTCCCTAAGCCTCTCTGTGCTCAAGGCTATCACTCTCTTACTTGAGCCACAGTGCCACTTCTTGCTTTTTTTGTTTATGTGGTATTGAGGAATTGAACCCAGGGCTTTATGCATGCTAGACAAGTACTCAACCACTAAGCCACATTCCCCAAGATTTTTGTTTTTGATATATAGGTTCTTGTTATGTTGCCCAGACTGGCCTCAAAACACGTGGGTTTAAGTATCCTGCTTCCTCAGCCTCCCTATTGGGAATAATACCACATCTGGCTGAACATGTTTATTTTGTTTATGAAATATCATTTGCAAATTCAATTGACAGTAAGCTTCCAGAGAAATTAAATTTGTGGCCACTGCATTTTTAGCCCTTCATTCTCATTCAGCTTGCCTGGGTCTACTACTTAATTGGAACTGGAGTCTCCCTTTCTTCTCTGCCTAGGCTTTCTTCTTCCATAATCCTCCAATCTCTGCCCTCTGCTGGTAGCTGGGATCACAGGTGTTGACTGACAAGTACAGAACACTACTTTTTTTTTGGTTTTTGGTCATTTGCAGGGCTTGAACTCTGTCTGGGCCTGGAGGCTATCCCTCAGCTCTTCAGCTCAAGGTGAGAGCTCTACCACTTGAACCACAGCGCAACTTCCGGTTTTCTGAGTGGTTTATTAGAAATGGGAGTCTCACGGAGTTTCCTGCTCAGGCTAGCTTTGAACCTCGATCCTCAGATCTCAGCCTCCTGAGTAGCTAGGATTATAGGCATGAGCCAAGAGCACCTGGTTCAGACTACCACTTTTTAGCCTACCTGTGCAGCTGCCCTAAATATGTATTTTTCTGTACTCCTGTACTTTCTGTAAAAGCACTAAAATTTGCAAAAAGAATTATGCTTTAAAAATGTGGTATGTGGACAAGGTTTTTAGGAGCAATAATTACTGGACAGAAAGACTTGAAAATAGGCAGAACAAAATTATAGTAATTGTCAGGCTTTGGCTTTATCACATTACTATAGAACTATGCCACTACTTACAGCAAGATTACTTAAGGACCAGCTGGGCGCAGGTGACTTATGACTGTAATCCTAGCTACTCAGGAGGCTGAGATCTGAGGATCGCTGTTCAAAGCCAGCCTGGGCAAGAAAGTCCTTGAGACTTCTATCTCCAATAAACCACCAGAAAAACAGAAGTGGCGCTGTGGCTCAAATGGTAGAGTGTTCACCTTGAGCTGAAGAGCAAAGGGTCAGCACCCAAACCCAGAGTTCAAGCCCAATGACCAACCAAAAAGAAAAAAAGATTACTTAAGGACCATTTAGAATCGATGACTCAGTATTAAATCCTTTCCAGTATCTCAAGATGCATAGTAATGTAATGACACTTCTTGGGAGGAGTCATTTCAAAGTCAAAAGGCAATCTAATCTGCCTTGTATTAAAAGACCTAACAGGGGCTGGGAAGGTGGCTCAGTGGTAGAGCGCTTGCTTTGCATGCTTGAGGCCCTGGGTTCGATTCCTCAGCACCACATAAGCAAAAAGAAAAAAGCTGGAAGTGGCGCTGTGGTGTAAGTGGTAAAGCGCTAGCCTTGAGCTGAAGAGCTGAGGGACAGCGCCCAGGCCCAGAGTTCAGGCCTCACGGCCGGACCCCCCCCAAAAAATAAATAAATAAAATACCTAACATAAAGTACGCAAAGCAATACAATTAAATATAGCACAGAGCTAATTTTCAAAGGCCTTTAATTTATACTCACCATTTAAGACCATATCTGAGAACATCCGGGCCAGTTCCAACAAAAGAGCTGTTCCCACACTGGACTTTGCAACTCCAGGACCCCAGGCATCTCTCTGGGCTCCTACTACAACGTATCGATCTTAGAAGGAAAAAAGGAAAATGATCACATATACAACTTTAAAATCTTACTATCTAATACTTAAGCCTAGAATAAGCACATAAGTAGAAGGGTATGAACTGAAGATAGAAAAGCCTAACTTCAGGAAGTGGCGCTGTAGCTCAAGTGGTAGAGCGCTCGCCTTGAGCTGAAGAGCTGAGAGGGACAGTGCCCAGGCCCAGAGTTCAAGCCCCATGACCGACAAAAAAAAAAAGGCTTACTTTCGGTTTTTTTTTTTGAACCCGGGGTTTAAACCGCATGACTTCTTTTTTTTTTTTGGTCTGTCATGGGTTGTTCTTCAGCTCAAGGCAAGCTCTCTACCGCCTGATCCACAGCGCTACTTCTGGTTTTCTAGTTGTTTATTGGAGATAAGAGTCTCATGGACTTTCCTGCCCGGGCTTTGAACAGCGATCCTCAGATCTCAGCCTCCTGAGTAGCTAGGATTACAGGCATGAGCCACCGGCGCCCGGCTTGTATGACTTCTTGAACTCAAACAGTTACAAGTAAAAGAATGTTTATCTGTCCCCTATGCTTACACCTATGGTTCAGTCAATAACAAAATTTTTTTCTAGTTATAATAATCAGTTTTTAACATGTCAATTTCTCAGGGACCTCTTTTCTCCCAATACAGCTGGTATACCTAAACAATTTGTTTTAGGGAGATAAGACAAGCACTTCACAAAACCAAGCTATTTCTGGCTTCTGACAATATCCGTAATATTAAGAATACAGAATTCAAAGGGAAAAAAAAAGGAATAAAAAAAACCACATATCAAAATTCCTAACCTGGTTCTTCGAAGCCTTTAATAACTCCAAAGACGTTAGAAATTTTGATCTCTTTTAGCATATTGTTCACAGTGAGCTTCACAGTGCGGTTTTCTGCAGACTGCATTCTGCATGAAGGGTCTGTTCTCCAGTTAACAGGACATTCATCTACCATATTTCTAGAAGCAGAAAATCAGTTAGTATTACTTTCCTGAAGTTTATAAGATCAAAATCAGAGAACAGAAAATCTACTCTTTAATGCTTAACCATTTTTGTTTTACTCTAATGTTTAGGCAGTAACCATGAGTTACTTCCTAGTTTATTTATTTTTTTAAATCTTGCCAGGTACCAGTGGCTCATGCCTGGAATCATAGCTACTTATTCATAGCTACTTGGGAGGCTGAGATCTGGGGATCACAGCCAGCCCTGGTTGGCTTTGCAAGTCCACGAAACTTTTATCTCCAATTAACCACCAGAAAGAAGCTGGAAGAAGAGCTAAGGCTCAGGTGGTAGAGCACTAGTCTTGAGAAAAAAGTTCAGGGATAGTACCCAGGCCCCTAGACTAGAATTCCTTAAAAAAAAAAAAAAAAATCGTGATTTCTGCCTTTTTGCCAGAGACAAAACTATAGCTGACATCTGAAACACATACCAGGATAGACTCAGAATGGTCTCATGTGAGTCTGTTAATACATTTTGGATTTCCCTACCTTCCCTACTAACAAGTGCAATGCACACTTTTATCTCTATTGTAAAAATATGACTAATTCCTATGCATCATCCTGAAAATAACTGGAAACATTGTTCCTATTTTATAATAAGGAACTGATGTAACCAATTAACCACTAGAAAACCAGAAGTGGCACTGTGGCTCAAGTGGAAGAGCGCTAGCCTTGAGCTTAAGAGCTTTGGGACAGACCCCAGGCCAGTTCAAGTCCCACAACTGACAATAAAACAAACCACAACAAAACAAAAAAACAAGAACCACCTAACAAATGCCTTGCTTATGTGGTGCTGAGGAATCGAACCCAGGGCCTCAGGCATGCAAGGCAAGCGCTCTACCACTGAGCCACCTTCCCAGCCCACAAATGTCTCTTATGCAGAATTGTCACACTACTTTATAAAGCTTTTCATTTAAAAATTGCTATACTAAACAAGATGTATTATAGTTATTTAATTAAATTGAAGAAACAGGTTCAGAGGGTTTCGAATAATTTTTTCTATATTACAAAGTAAACGAATCCTTGAATAAAGCCTGAAATTAGATATTCATCCTATGATGCCAAGTGTAATATATCTATATCAAGATAAAAATTAATGATAGATACTTCAATCACATTGGTTTTCTTTTCTTTTAAAGGTGGGGCCACTGGGTCTATAATCCTAGCTACTCAGGGGGCTGAATCTGAGAATTTAGGTGAAGCTAGCCTGGGAAAACAGATTCTCGCATCTCCAATTAACCAGCACCCCCTCACCCTACCCCCAGATTAGTCTCACCAAGATCCTCAGATCTCAGCCTCTTATTTTTTTTTAAATTTTAAGCAGAAAAAGCCAGAAGTGGTGCTGTGGCTCAAGTGATAGAGAGCGCTTGCCTTAAGCTGAAGAGCCCAGACCCAGAGTTCAAGCCCCATGACCAACCAAAAAAAAAAAAAAAAAAATCAGGAAACTACCTTAAGAACTGAAGACATTCAACTATAAACAAGGAAACACATCTTCCGTGCTGCTAGAATTAAAGTGCTTGCCTAGCATGCATGAAGCATGCATGAGTTTGATTCTTCAGTATAACATAAACAGAGAAGGCTGGAAGTGGCCCTGTTGCTCAAATGGTAGAGTGCTAGCCTTGAACAAAAAGCTCATGGACAGTGCCCAGGCCCTGAGTTCAAGCCCCAGGACTTGCAAAAGAATAAAATATCTGTACGGAAGAAAAATTTCATTCATCTATACCATGGTGATAGTTAAACATCCCCCAAATATTCAAATGGGGAAAATTAGTTGTTTTTTATGAGTTTTATTTTTTGGTCAGTCATTAGGTTTAAACTCTGGGCCTGGATGCTGTCCCTGAGCTCTTTTTGCTCAAGGCTAGTGCTCTACCACTTTGAGCCACAGAGCCATTTCACTTCTGGTTTTCTGGTGGTTAACTGGAGATAAGGTCTCAGACTTCCAGCCCAGGCTGGCTTTGAACTACGATCTTCATATCTCGGCCTACTGAGTAGCTAGGATTACAGTCTTTAAGAGTTTATTAATTTAAGCTTATTACTGTATTTGCCCCTTACCCAAATAAGAACTTACCCAAAGAGCTGTTCTGCACCCTGTCTGGAAATTGTTTGGACAGGTATATTTGGCAATCCTGATGATTGAGATGGTGGAAACTGAGTATGATTGAAAGAAGGGAATCCAGGTGTATAAGGGTCGCCTGTTCCCAGATGAGCCTAGTAAACAAAATAACAATTAGCTTTATCTTGCCCTTTAGAAGTCCAAGAAGGTCACCAAAAGATTCACATTTAAACTTTATTTAGCATCATGAAGCCTGAAATTCTAAATGGCTCTATGACTTTTTAAATATTGTCTGTGCAAAATTCTCAATTTAAGGTACTGAGAAGTATTTAACAAGTATTGTTAGCAATTTTCAATTTAAGGCACTACTGATTTGGTATTTTTATTAGTAAGATTTCCAAAATCAAAGAAACTCACCTTCACAGTACCTGCTACAACTCTTTCAACAGAATAATTAAGACAAATTCTACTTTAAGTAAATCTGGAATCACATCAATTTAAAGAATTCAAAAATTATTGACTAAAGAAATAAGAACTCACATGTCCAAAGAATGGAACGTTTGCACTAACTATGGGATAGTTAGTATTGTCCATGTATATTATGACACCAATTGCGTTTAATCTTTCAGCATTTGAAACCTAAAAAAAAAACAACACACACACAAAAACTCAGAAGTGAAGAGTTGATCATGGAAAATGAAAATAACATACTGAGAAGTGGTGCTGTGGCTCAAATGGTAGAGCGCTCTCCTTGAGCTGAAGAGTGCAGGGACTGTGCCCAAGCTCCATGACCGACCCCCCTCCCCCAAAAAGAAAAGAACGGAACAGAAAATAAAACATACTGGACTTCATGCACAAGGACAAAATTTAACAAAGGACTAGGCCAATACTCCCAAATATTTTAAAGAAATATCTAGGAAAAACAAAACCTTATCTTCAAACAAATTCATTAAAGTTATTTATAAGACAAAGCAGTTAGGGCCCTGAATTTTCAAAAAAAAAAAACAACAAAACCAACCAAACAAAAACCAACATAATCTGCCTACAAAAGAATTTCTGGAGAATCTCCAACCCTCCTAAGCTCCTCCAAAACATCTATAGATTATTTGTATTACAATACTTTTGGAGTATAGAAAGAACTAGTCATACCAAAAAAGGAATAAAAAAGGACTAATTTAATTAATGTACTAAAAAAATTAGTTCAGATGAACAATATATACAAGGTAATAGTTACAAAAAATGTTCATTTCTCTAAAAAGTTATGATAAAATTGCATTGAGTGAGAGAAGTGTATCAGAGAAGGATTCTAAATGCTAAATTTATACTTTTATATTTAAGTTAATAAAGGTGATATAGCCGGGTACCAGTGGCTCACGCCTGTAATCCTAGCTACTCAGGAGGCTGAGATCTGAGAGTCACAGTTTAAAGCCAGCCCAGCCAGTAAAGTCTGTGAAACCAATTAACCATCAGAAAGCCAGAAGTGGTGCTGTGGCTCAAGCGGTAGAGCGCTTGCCTTGAGGAGAGCTGAGGGACAGCGTCAGGCCCAGAGTTCAAGCCACAAGACCAAAAACAAAATGAAACAAAAAAAACAGAAAGTGGGGAGGGGGGGGAGAGAGGGTGATATCAATATAAACTTATACTTTAGAAATATGGAGCAATGAAAAGACTGCACAGAAGAAAGGACAATGATAGAAGAATCAACAGAACTGAGGGGTGGTATGGGGAAGCGAAATTGTAGCTTCATAGTGCTATTTTGTTGTTGGTAGTTGGTTGTCTTGTATATTGTTTAGATACCTGTTTTTAAAAGTCATTAAGGAACTTCTCTAATGGAAAAGGAAAAGTGAAATCTACCATTATCCTTTCCTTTTTTTAGTCAATTAGAACTGAACTCGATACAAACATAAATCTGGGTTACACAGACTACAACTGCTTTTACTTAAATCATTTTAAAATTACTCTGGGGGCTGGGAATGTGGCTCAGTGTTAGAGTGCTAGCCTTGCATACATGAGGCCCTGGGTTCGATTCCTCAGCACCACATAAGCAAAAAGAAAAAAGCCGGAAGTGGCGCTGTGGCTCAAGTGGTAGAGACCTAGCCTTGGGCTGAAGAGCTGAGGGACAGTGCCCAGGCCCAGAGTTCAGGCCCCACAACCAGACCCCCCCCAAATTACTTTGTTTTCTCTTTTTTTAGTGGTACTAAATTTTTCTTCTGCTAGACAGGTTCTCTATCACCTGAGCCATGCCATGGTCCATTTTGCTTTAGTTAATTCTCAAATAGGGCCTCATGTTTATGTCAGGACCAGCATAGATCAAGTTGTATAGAATTGAGATCTTCCTCCTCTTAAATCTCTACCTCTACAATAGCTGGGATTACAGTAAAGAGCCAACCACAGCCAGGTAGTTCCTTTCTGTTTTTTTAAGGCAGGGTCCCACTATTCAGCCCAGACTGGCCCAGGATTCATGATCCTTCTATATTACAAACCTGTGACAACCACAACCAGGGATTTTACTTTATTTTCACTGAAAGCCAGTAACTGCAAAATATTCCAAGTGAATAAGCTATCATTTGAGGTATCCTTATAACATGTAATTGGGATCTGTTTGATTGTCAACCACTTCAATAAACTAACTTTTCAGCTATGAGAATTTAACTGTTGGTTTTTCAAAATATAAGAAAATTAACAAGAAATATCATTTAACTGAAGAAAAAAATATCAATGTATTTAATTACACATACCTTTTCTGCAACAGTGATTTTCCCTGCTCTAACAATCACTATAGATCCATTCACAGGAGTTTTTAAATCCTCAAAGTCTTTTCTAGTGCCAAAATTAGCATGGATAAGTTTCCCCTAGAACAAAAACATAGGTTTAATGAGAGATATGGTATAAAAGCAGCTATAGAATCTGATATAAAAGATCAAAATCATCAGGAATGGTCTCTTATAATGTCTTTCCTTATCCTAGGTTGCCCTCTAAAGGCTATTTTACATTGTTTTAGAAAGAGAAAGGATAATGAATGGATAAGCCATTAAGAGTAAACCAGCAACTCAGAACTATTCCATAACAATCCAAACTATCCATATTCCTCTCTGCAGGACTCAGGCTTAAACTAAGCAGACAGACACACCTCACAAAAAATTATTTTTCTGCCAGTCCTGGGGCTTGAAATTAGGGCCTGGGAGCTATCCCTGAGCTTCTTTGTGCTCAAGGCTCTATCACTTGAGCCACAGCACCACTTCTGCCCTTTTTCTGAGTAGTTTATTGAAAATAAGAGTCTCGCTGACCCTTCCTGTGATCCTCAGTTCCTGGCCTCCTGAGTAGCTAGAATTACAGGCATGAGCCACTGGCACAAACACACTTTTAACCTGAAAATAATTCATTCCGTCTATCTATTTCTACTTTTCATCATTTTGTCTGTGTTTGAAAAGATCAAGCATTAAAAAGAATCAAATTGATACTGAGAAAAAGCTGAAAGTGGCACTGGGGCTCAAAGTGATAAGAGTTACTAGCCTTGAACTAAAAAGTGCTAAGGGACAGTGCCCAAGCCCTGAGTTCAAGTCCACAAATGACAAAAGAAGAATCAAGTTGAAACTAGTTCCCCACCCAACCAAGATCAAATTAATTATCTGAACATTTTTTAATGCTATTTCTGAGCTACACTTGCAGCTCGAGATTGGTCCCCAGGTAAGGAGGAACTTTGTATATGCACTTTACTTAACAAATACTACCATGTGTCAGGTACTCTCCAAGGCTCTAAGACATGTCTGAAAAATGCAATAAACTCATGTAGCTTACATTTTAATGGAAAAAAATGAATAAGAATCTGGTGGAGGGGGCTGGGAAGGTGGCTCAGTGGTAGAGTGCTTGCCTTGCATGCCTGAGGCCCTGGGTTGGATTCCTCATCACCACATAAGCAAAAAGAAAAAAGCCGGAAGTGGCGCTGTGGCTCAAGTGGTAGAGTGCTAGCCTTGAGCTGAAGAGCTGAGGGACAGTGCCCAGGCCCAGAGTTCAGGACCCACGACCGGACCCAAAAAAAAAAAAAAAAAAAGAATCTGGTGGAAAAAATACTATGAAAAAAAAAAGCAGGATAGGGTAAAGGGATAAGTGGGAAGCTATTTTTTGAAAAAAATAAGGAAGTCCTTAATAAGATAATGTTTGAGAAGAGACAAGTCAGACAAGTCATGTTAAGGTGGTCTGAGTAGCCAAAATGAATGAAAAGGACAACAGTAAGAGTAAGGCTTTGTAGAAAAACATTAGGACCTTGCAATTTATTTTGACTAAGGCACTGGAGGGTTGAGAATATCTAACAATTTAAATCTTAGAAGTTAATTATTTAAGATATTTATTTTGGTGTCAGCATCAGAATTGAACTCAGGGACTAGCACTACTGCTTGGTTCTTTTTGTTCAAAGTTGGCATTCTACCACTTGAGTCACACTTTCACTTCTAGTTTTTGCTAGTGAATAGAGATAAGTCTTGCATGCTTTTCTGTCTGAAATAGCTTTGAACTGTGATCCTCAGATCTCAGTCTAGAAAATAGACAGGATTACAGGCATAAACCATGGGCACCCAGCTCAAAAAAGTAAATTTAAACTAGTGTATCTACAGTTCTAAGGACAGCAAACACAATGAATTCAACTCTTCAGTGAAGTCTCATGCCCTTTTTTTTTGTCTTACTTACAGTAACTGTTGCAGCCTTACTATATGCCACGTAACCCTCAGGATTCTCCACCAGGTATGCCATAGCACCATTTGTCATTAGAGTCACAGAGTTTTGAGCACTGCTAAAAAGATTAAGTTAAAATTAAACTAAGGCCATCCTGGGCAAAAAAAATTCAATGAGGGGGTACGGATGATGAGTTGGTGAAGGAAGGGATGGTAGGGGAAAAACAAAGGAGGAGGTAACAATGCTCAATAGGAAATGTACTTATTACCTTACTCATGTAACTGTAACCCCTCTGTACAATATTTTTACCATAAAAAATATATACCAAAAAAATAGCTTTAGAATACTCAGCATTTGCATTATTTGGCTTGAAATGTAGTTATAAATCTTAAGCTTAATTTTTTTATTTTGAAAATCTTTGCTTTTAGTCTACCAATTTGTATACCAAAGTAGTTAAAAAAAAAAAATGTTGCAACATTTATCATCTTTCAACATACCTGCCCTTGACCTGAATCCTAACATAATGTTCATCTCGCCAAACTTTGCTGAATTTAAATGCACTGAATTGATTTTCAACAAAATAGCCAAGACTTTCATCTTTAGGAGATCCAGCCTCACGAGGCACATATATATCTTGACTCAACTGCCTGGAGGAAAAAAGAGTTGTTAAAGTGCTTATTAACATAACAATGTTTATTAAATAATCCTTTAGGACTTCCAGGTATGGCTCAAGTGGTAGAGCTTTCTTAGCATGCTCAAAGCCCTATGTTCTATCCACAGTAACACAAACATATAACCCAAGGATTAAGTAAATTGTTTCAAAATAAACTCAGTTATTAACCCCAATGGCTCTTTCTAAATATACTCAAGCAAGTTCTTTCTGTGTGTATTATTTTCACCTTATCCATAAATGCCTCTTGTATATACACTGTAAGTATATTCACTGTAAGTAAAAATGGTAAAATGTCTAGTTCAAAACTGAAAGAAGCCAAGCTCACTCCTAGCTACTCAGGAGACTTGAGATCTGAGGATCACAGTTCAAAGCCAGCCCAGGAAAGAAATTCCTTTGGGAGACTCTTTTCTCCAAATACACTACTCAAAAAAGCTGGAACTGGCACTGTGGCACAAGTGATAGAGTACTTGCCTTGAGCAAAAAGAAAGTCAGGGATAGAACCCAGGATCAGCTTTAAAAAAAAAAATTGTTAATACTATTAAAACTGTAGGAAGCTAACTCTACACAGACGTTAGATGACTAGATATTAGAAACAGGACAACTGGGTGCTGGTGGCTCACTCCTATAATTCTAGCTGAGAGGCATCTAAAGATGCTGGTTTGAAGCCAGCCTAGGCAGAAGTCTGTGACTTTTATCTCCAATAAACCACTCAGGATAAAAAAAAAACAAACTGGAAGTGGCACTGTGATTCAACTGGTAGAGCACTAGACTTGAGGAAGAGCAGCTCAGGGACAGCACCCAGGGCCAGAAAAAAAAAGCGGGGGGAGGGGGGCAGAAATTGGAAGATTTCTTGGCAGATGGCATGCATACACACTAGATATATACCAAGACAGACTGTCAATTAAGTCATCCTGGGATACTCTTAAGAACAGTAGCAGAGGGGCTAGGAAGGTGGCTCAGCAGTAGAGTGCTTGCCTTGCATGCATGAGGCCCTGGGTTCGATTCCTCAGCACCACATAAACAGAAAAGGCCAGAAGTGGCACTGTGGCTCAAGTGGCAGAGTGTTAGCCTTGAGCTGAAGAACTCAGGAACAGCACCCAGGCCTAGAGTTCAAGCCCCATGACCGACCAAAAAAAAAAAGCTCAGCATGACATTACAAGAGCTTCAGATGGAACATCAGGGCAAAATCCAGTCTGATGGCAAAGAAATAAGATCTAGTCAACTATTTATGAAAACCAAGAATCTCCAGGAAAGTTCTTAACATTTTTCCCTACCAAAATCACTTCAATTTCTTTTCTTCTGTTCAGCCATTTTATATAGAAGGAGGGCACTTTTTAAACTCTTCCCCTTCAGATCATGGAAACTTTAATTTATCCCATAAGCATAGCCACTAAAATCTATTTTTAGAAGAAAATGTTGTAGTTAAATGGGAAATACTTGAATTTTTTATCGTTTAATCTCTCTAGTTAAACATGAGAAAGCTCTGCCTCTCTGAAAAGCCTGTCTTCAAGACTATTACCTTTGTTTTAGTTAATCTGATAAAACAATTTGTTTATATACTGAGGTTGAACTTGTGAAGGAGCCTAAGCTTACTTGATGGTGTTGAGAAAGTCTATGGCATTCAGTTTCTCTGACAACATGTTTTTGAGGTCTTCCCAATACAAATGAGGTGACAGCTCAGGGAATACGTCTTCTCCCTCTTGCTCAGGGAATGTATTTTCTGCATTCTCTGTCATTCCTGCTTCTGCCACTTTATTACAATCAGCTTTTGGTTCTACACGTTTACAGTAGCCCAGGTAGCCAATCATAAATCCTAAGGATAAAAAGTTTAGATCTGAACTTAATTCATTATAGTCAGTTAAGCCTAAAAATAGTGTTTTTAATTAAATTCTGCAAACCAATGTTTTTAGGTTTTAGTCCAACAAATTACACGGTTACCATTCAAAATAGTTATTTACTAGAAGCCTTCCTTGAAATCTCAGGCTGAGTTTATCAAAATTTCCTGTGTTATTATATATGCAAATGGCAGGCACAGAATCTTAAATCATTGTATTCATAATCCTAGTAGTGATGCTTAAAAAGGTACAAAATCAGCATCTTCTAAACTGAAACAAGACTTTCAAGACTTATAAGTTTTTGAACAGTTGTTCTTACCAATCAAGAAAAAGATGATTACAGCAATCGTCCCATAGCAGATTCTTCCATTAAACTTTTTAGGTTTTGTGACATTGGTCCTCATGTTATTATCAGTACTTTCTTCCTCATCTACAGCAAGTTTCATCTCCACATGACTGTTATCTCCATCTACCTGCCGAGCCAGGCTAAACCGAGTATATGACATCGGTTCTCCACCAAACTGAGATTAAGAACACAAAAGGGAATTATAGACATTGACAAGTTGGTTATGCACTGTACTTCTTATTGGACCAGTAATATGACTTGATACACATTTAAGGTAAAACAAGTTATCCTTCCAAATCAACATTCTTCCCTGTTGCCAGCTCTGAAAATGGCAGCTGAGGGCTATAACAAGCATACTAAGTCTTTTCAGGGTTTTCTTCTCTTCTCTTTTTCTGTTTTTTTTTTGTGCCAGTCTTGGGGCTTGAACTCAGGCTTGGGCACTGCCCCTGAGCGTTTTTGCTTAAGGCTAATGCTCTACCATGTGAGCCACAGCTGCACTTCCAGTTTGACAGTTAATTGGAGATAAGAATCTCCAATCTTCCTCCTGGTTGAGTTCAGAGCTCAGACTCCTGAATAGCTAGAATGGATAATGAGCCTTGGGGCCTGCCTTTTTTTTCTTTAAAATTTTCCCTTTTTTATGTAGGTACAAGGGCTTGAACTCAACCTCATCCTCTTGTTTCACTATTTCACTTTCTTTCTCACAGCTGGTGCTCTGAAGCCATGCTTCCAGGGCAGGCTTTTGGTTATTTTGGAGATAGTGGGCCTGGGCTGGCTTCAAACTGGGCTTCTCTAGGTTGCTGCCTCTTTAGTAGTTATAAGCATGAACCACTGGTCCCCAGCTTATTCAGCTTTCTCATTCATGATTTCTGTTTTGTATGTCTCCTATTATATTTTCTAGTTTTTAACTTTTTATTTAAAGAGACCTTCAGGCTGGAGGCTGGAGGTTCACTTTGTAGTACAGTGCCTGCCTAGCACGGAGGTCCCAAATTCAAGCTCTAGTACTAGCACACACATACATATAGCCATAAGCCAGGCATGATGGCACATCTCCATAAATTTAGCACTCTGGAGGCTGGGAATTCAGGGCCAGCCAGGGCTATATAGCAAAACATAAAAATAAAGACTGTGAATATACTCTTCTATATTGGATCTGTTATGCCTCAATACTACAAACCGTGAATATACTCTTTGTTATGGGATCTGTTATGCCTCAATACTACCAGTTCAAATGTAAAGAATGCCTGTTGATAGTTTGTGATATTATTTCATGCTTACTCAGTAAAAGCCATGTCTATATGAAATATTACTGAAAATATCTCACCAAGTTAGAGAATGCTGATCTGGCTTGATCCATCATTTTGAGTTGCCACCAGGAAGAACCTAAAGCTAGAATAAAGAATGAGATAGATGACACTGTATTAGATTATCAGTATGAACTCTTAATTACAAGGTTAGATTATTACATATGAAATTTATTGTTAAATGTTATTACCACTCTAGAAAAGCCTTTTTTCCCCTTTTGTGGTGGCACTAGGGTTTTGTACTTAGGGCTTCATACTTGCTAGATAGGCACTCTACTGCTCAGCCACATCATTTGCCCATTTTAGGCTTTCTATCTAAAATCCCTGTAGCTGAGATAACAGGCATGTGCCATCACAGCCCACCTTCTGGGCATCTCAAACTTTTTACCTGGCCTGGCCTGGAACTGTGATCCTCCAGATTTCAGCCTCATCAGTAGTTAGGATCAACAGATGTCAGCTACTGGTGTCCAGATATTTAAGACTAGATTGCACAATATAGGCTGTCTCTGAATTCGCAGTGGCATCAAGTGGGCCCTGGACTCTGAATTCCCCAGTGTTGGAATTACAAATATGGGCCACTATACTTTAACCAATACCTTTTTTCTCATGATAACTATTGAATCCTGACCTGAGGTGAGATAGTAATTGGACAACAGTGAAGCACATAAAAATCCTGAAAAGGGACTATACACCAGGTAATGTCATTACATAAATATCAGGCTGTTTTTTTGTTCTTGGATTAATGCTGAAGAATTAAAGATAAAGTACCATAACTTACTATTAGTTTAGTTTGTTTGTTTTTGTCAGTCTTGGGGCTTGAACTCAGGGTCTGGGTACTGTCCCTGAGCTTTTTTGCTCAAGGCTAACAATTTACCACTTTGAGCCACAGTGACACTTCCTGTTTTCTGGTGGTTAATTGGAGTTAATCTCACAGACTTTCCTTCCTAGGCTGGCTTTGAATTGGATCTCCAGATCCAGTCTCCTGAGTGGCTAGGATACAGGTATGGAGCCAGACTAGTAGTCCAGTTTTTAAAATATTTTAAAAAGCAAACAGTTGTTGAATCTAGTTAAAGGGTTCATGGCTAGCATAACTATTCTGTTTTCTTTAAGGCTTGAAATTTTGAAAATTATAATGTAAGAAAAAAGTTAAAATTTTATCATCCATGCTAAAGAGATTTAAGCAATCAAATCTAGTAGCCAAAAAAGGTATCAATAAATTATCATCTTTAAAAAATCCACAAATAGGGCTGGGAAGATGGCTCAGTGGTAGAGTGCTTGCCTTGCATGCCTGAGGCCCTGGGTTTGATTCCTCAGCACCACATAAACAAAAAGAAAAAAGCCGGAAGTGGTGCTGTGGCTCAAGTGGTAGAGCGCTAGCCTTGAGCTGAAGAGCTGAGGGACAGCGCCCAGGCCCAGAGTTCAAGCCCCATGACCGGACCCAAAAAACAAAACAAAACAAAACAAAACAAAATCTACAAATAAAGCAAAAGTCAAAACTCAGCCAGGAACCAATGGCTCATGCCTATAATCTTAGCTACAAAGGAGGCTGCAATCTGAAGATCATGGTCTGAAGCCAGTCCGTGCAAGAAAATGCAGGAAAGGCAATGAGATTTTGATTTCCAATCAACCAGAAAGAGTCAAAAGTGAAGCTGTGTCTAAAGTGATATAATGCCAGCCTTCAGTGGAAGAGTTAAGGGGAGAGGAGAAAGAGAAAGGGTAAAGCATCTAGGTCTAATAGCGCAGGCCTGGAATTCCAGAATGCTGAAGCAGAACTAGTTTGATTGATTCCAAATATATCTGAAATCCATGTTTCAACTCTCCCAGCCCCAAAAGAATCCTAATTCTGATTAAGTGAATAATTGAGATCTCTGACAAAAAAAGACAAAAGAAAAATATAGGTTATGCATTTTTATAGATAATTGAGGTCAATTGGCTGAAAGGCTAATCAATTTGTTCAAGGCTGAAAACTGGTCATCTGAAAAAAATTCAATAGGTTACAGGGTTGTAGAAATTGAATTCTTTCTAGAATTTAAAAATTAATTTCATGGGCTGGGATGTAGCTCAGTGGCAAAGCGCTTACCTGCAAGTGCAACGTCCTGGGTTCGATCCCCAGTACCAAAAAAGAAAAGTCAAAAAATAAATAAAAATTAATTTCAATTATGTTCAAAGTAAAATAAACTTCTATGGCTAGCAGAGAGCCTAATGTTAAGTCACCTGAATTCTAAAGTTTCTTGACTTGGATGCACCTCGATGATTGAAATCAAAATTACATTCAGATTTATAAAATGGCCATTTTTGCATACTTTAAAACTTTTCCTAAACAAGTACAGCATCATAAAGCACAATGAAGTTATATAGAGGTTACAAAACAAAGGACATTATAAATTAGCTTTACAAAAAGGCTTCTTTCTAAAACATATTAACCAAACAATATTTTTCAATCCCAAGCAATAGAAGGCACTGTCAGAAGCACAATCTTTTGCTCCTTCTGGTACAAAGTTTATCATCACCACTGCACTAGAACTGTACAGACCCAATCACCAAGAACCAGAGCCAGAGAGGCCCACCCTCAGCCAATTTTAATCATCCTTTTCTAGGAAAAAAAAACAGCTTATAAATCTATCACTCATCTAACCAGCCACCACCCCCCACACTGTCTAATTTTTAATTAGTTAATTAAATTAATTTAGTGGTAGTTGGGAGACACAGGACCTCGCCCTTACTGAGCTACACTCCTGGTCTTTAAACTAATTCTATTTTATTTATTTATTTTTATTGGACGTGGGGCTTGAATTCTGGGCCTGGGCACTGTCCCTCAGCTCTTCAGCTCAAGGCGAGTACTCTACAGCTTACTGCTTGAGCCACAGTGCCACTTCCAATTTTCTGGTGGTTTATTAGAGATAAGCCTGCCCTGGCTGGCCTTGAACCATGATCCTCTCAGATCTCAGCCTTCTGAGTAGCTAGAATTACAGGCGTGAGCCACCAGCACCCAGCTAAACTAATTTATAACCAAAGTGGTAACACTGTTAAAAAAACATTAGGCAAATGATAGCATACTTGCCTATCAAGTACTATTAAAGGAAAATTAAGAATTTAAATGAGATTGTCTGCAGGAACATATATTAATATACAATTATGACTATGTATAATTACACTTTAAGTACACTTTTTTGCAACATTTCTTTAATATTAAATTTATTTTTTTAATTAAAAAAAGTTAAAAAAATAAAAAAATTTTTTTTTAATTTATGTAGAATGAAGGAATTGATCCTAGGGCCTCATGCATGCTTGGCAAGCACTCTACCACTAAGCCACATTTTCAGCCCCCCAAAGTGATTTCTAACTCAACCAAACACCCATGCTAATATGGACAAGCCTAATTCAACTTGGAAAACATGTTACTGTTTTAAGACCTTGGAGCTCATGTAAAAGGAAGTTCCTCTACCTGCTTAAGGCTCTGTTCCAGATCTTCATTGCCTAGTAGTTTTTTTCTGAGAAACAGATGTTATTTCTATTTCAACCCAAGGATATGAAATTAAAATAGCAAGAGTTAGAGAAAAAAAATTGTGACATAAGGATGTCATAACTTCTATAATCTCCAAAACGAAAATCCAGAGACTAAAGCCACTAATATTCTTCTTGTTCCTTGAAATTCCACTCATTTCTTCCAGACTCAGCCCACAGGCCATCTCTGAAGTCTTTAACTGAATTTTCCTGTGACACTGATATTGAATTATGTGGCAATTAAGAGAATGTGAAGATATTTTATTTAATAGTACTAGGGCATGCTTGATGCACGAGTTCCAACTGTTACAAAAAAGAATATAATGAATATCTTGGATCTTTCCAAAACATTCTGCTACTGTTTTAATCATAAAATCACTGGTCAAATTTTGGTAGGAAAGGGCTGGGAACGTGGCTTAGTGATAGTGTTTGCCTAGCAAGTCTTGGGTTTGCCTCGCAAGTCCTCAGTACCACATAAAACATGTAAGTGCTGCTGTAGTTGCTAGCCTTGAGCAACAGCAGCTCAGGGACAGTGCCCATGCCCCTGAGTTCAAGCCCCAGGTCGGGCCAAAAAAAAAAAGTAGGAGGAAAAAATTTTAAAGCAAAATTTTACTTGGTAGAGCTCTAAATTCTCAAGCAAGTGGTTGTGGGTGTTATGCAAACTACTTCCCTAGACAACCATACATTTTCCAGGTTTCAAATGAACATAAACTTACAAAATATTTGCAAGGTTCTCAGAACGTTTATACTTGTAACATACTAAAATGACTTGAAAAGAGATTGCTGATGTCTTTCTGCCTTTTAGAGTCTATTTTATGAGCCTGAAATGAAACAGCAGTGGAAGAAATAAAAAACAAGGTACAGCTTTCAGAAAAAGATTAACCAAGCTGAAGGTCAAAACCACTTGAAGTCACTGTGGCCCTCATCTGAGAGGACAGAAAGTAGGAACAATCTACATAGAACAGCAGTTCCATCCATAAGGCCACAGAGGGTCATTTCTCACCAGCTTTCTATGTTGCCTCAATTCAGGTTTAGATGGGAACTTTGCTCCACTATAGATAAGCACATTATCAGAGGCAAATAACTGCCTAGCCTTAGGTGGAGTTTGCCAAACCAATCTATCCAGAGATCAAACAGGCTGGGTCCAAAGCCACCATTACATCCCCGTAAAGAGAAAGGGGGGGGGGGAGAAGTGTGTGCTGTGCTATATATAACCCCTTAGGAAAAGCATTTGCTATCAGTGCTGAAAAATTAAATAAACTGGATTTTCTTGAGAAGCGCATTGAATTATTTATTATAAAGGGAGGGGAGCTGCTAAAAACAGCAGGGCCTACAGGTACTTCAGAGCCCAAACAATTTTCATAGTGGTGATTTCTGGAAATAAGCTTAAATGTTTTTTCAATGAGGCCCAATTTTCCAGCTCACCAGCAACCAAACTAACATCTAGTGTGCCAAATAAGCTTTGTATAAAGATATCAGGTAGCCAAATACCTGATATCAGAGCAACTATTTCCTACTTCAATCTTCTTACAAAATAGGGAGGGGAGAAGGGAAGGAGAAGCTGCAATCCAGTCCCATAGATCCAAGGAAAAGCGAAGTAACAAGGTCATTACATGTGCCAGAAGTACTCACTCCACAACACCCCTTTATAGAGCTCTCCAACACACACACACACACACACACACACACACACACCCGCGAACACGAGGCTTTCTACAGCCTCTACGTACGAGTGCTAATTCCCCATCTCGCCTCCCATCTTGTAGGGAGAATTGCGGGCCATTCCCTTACGGTGATCACCTGCAGTGTCCAGGTCCGATTTTGCACCCAAGTGGGACAGTTCCCAGAAACTAGCCTAAATCCAATTCTGGAACCTTTCCGCCATGAAGACCCAGGGACTGCGTGCGCCTCGAGAGGTTCCGAGCGCAAGGTCACTCACGAGCCCCGCCGGCCAGCCAGTCCCCAGGGGTGACTTCCGAGAGCGGCCACCACGTGCTCCCCGCGGAGCCCGGCGCGGCCGCGGCGCGGTTTACCCTGCGCCCCGAACCCACGGCCTGGTTTTCAGGAGCAGCGGCGGCGGGGTCTGAGGAGCCGCAGACAGAATAGAGCGGACACAGAGGGTCAGTGGGGAGCCCCGTCACCACGTCTCAGTCCCCGCAGGGAAGCCACTCGCTGCTCCGCTACGGAGGAGGGACGGGCCGCGACCTCACCGCACCGCACCTGCTGCCCACACGGGCGGACCCCCCCTGTCGGGCCCGCAGGCTCCGTCACGCCCGCCCGACCCTGCGGCTCGCACAGGCTGCAGGACAGCCCTGCGAGGGCCCGGCCTGGCCAGCGCTCCACCAGTCCTGCCGGCTAAGAGAACACGAGGGTCAGCGGAAGGCACGGGCGACGCGTCACTCACCCAGGCGCCTCCTCCGCACGCCACGGCCCAGCCGCCACCCGCTATGCGAACGCCCTCTGAGGGACCGCTCGCCCCCAACCGGCGACTTATAGCTCGGTCCCGCCCCCTTTCCGACCCTCGGGTCTGACGTCACTTCCTGCCGCACGTACACCTATTGAGGTACTCTAATATTAGAGACCGCCTCGGGGGAGATGCGCGCGCAGCCAGATGGAGCCCTTCGTTGCGGGTGCGCTCGGCGGGGCGAGGTTTAGAGAAAAGGCGCCAAGACGGCAGGTGCCCCGAGGAGACGCGTGATTGGCTCCCTGACTGTCGCCTCCCTCCGCGCCCTTCTCCTCCCACGTCCTCCCGGCTGCCAGGGCCGCAGTACTCAGCCCTGCTCTCTAGGAGCTCTCCGCCTAACCTTGCCCGACCTCGGGGCTCTGTGGTGCACGACCAGATCTGTTAGAGGACTTGAAAATGTTGCACGCTTACCATGAAAGTAGTTCCTGCGATGTATGTCCGCCATTAAAGCCATATTCTACTATAGGTATTTGGGCCTTAGAAATACTTAAGCAAAAAAGGAAAAGAAATGCAAAGCAAAATGCAAATCAAAGCGGCACTGAGGACTGACAGAATGCTTTGTGTCACGTTTACTGCATGAGAACATGGGAGGGATTGTAGAAACTAGAGATTGAACAGCGTGACAGAATTGCAGACTTACTTTCCTGTTTATTTGCATTGTTGTTAATAGGATTTATTGTTGCAATGCACAGAGAATAAGAAAAATTTTATTCTTGACCCTAAAGAGTTCTGCAAACGCATTCACTCTCTTATCTCCTTAACAGAACATGGAGAGAGGTAGCTAAAAAAGGATTGCAGAAAAACCCTTTCCAGGCAGAGCCCTTTAAAATGCAAATCTCCTTTTGAGTCTCCAGCTTTTCCTTTTCTCCTAAGTACGGGATTTGTGCACCACCAATCTCTTTACACTCCATTCTTTGTTCTATTGATCTAAGATCTTACCAAGATCTCCCTTCAGCTACATATATATACATATATGTGTGTGTGTGTGTAAATAATATATAGTGTGTGTGTGTGTGTTCCCAGAGATTGGAGACTGAGGCCAGAGGATTTGGATTTCAGTTCCAAGATTGCCAGAGATACTTAATGAGACCTTGTGTCAAAAATACAGAATGAACAAGCAAAACAATGCTTGTATTTCCAGGTGACTATCTTATACCATCATGAAGAAAAATGGGCTTAGAATATAGAAGTCAAGACCATTCATTACTACATTTCATATAAAAAAAATTTTTTTGATCGGTCGTGGGGCTTGAACTGTGGGTCTGGGTGCTGTCTCTGCGTTCTTCAGCTCAAGGTGAGCCCTCTACCACTGGAGCCACAGTGCCACTTCCCATATAAAAATTTTATATTCACAAAAATGAAACGGGGCTGGGAAGGTGGCTCAGTGGTAGAGCGCTTGCCTTGCATGCTCTAGGCCCTGGGTTCGATTCCTCAGCACCACATAAGAAAAAAAGCCGGAAGTGGCACTGTGGCTCAAGTGGTAGAGCGCTAGCCTTGAGCTGAAGAGCTGAGGGACAGTGCCCAGGCCCAGAGTTCAGGCCCCATGACCGGAACCAAAAAAAAAAAAAAAATGAATTACAAGCTGTGCACACAGATAGCTCACACCTATAATCCTAAGTACTCAGGAGGCTGAGATCTGAGTATCACTGTTCAAAGACAATATGGGCAGAAAAGTCTAAGACTCTTATTGTCAATAAAAACTACTCATAAAAAGATGGAAATAGTGCTGTGGCTCAAGTGGTAGAGCACTAGCCTTGAGCAAAGAGGCTCAAAGACAGTGCCCTTGAGTTAAGCCCCAGGACTGGCAGAGAGAGAGAGAGAGACAGAGACAGAGACAGAGAGACAAAGACAGGGAGACAGAGAGCCAGAGAAAGGCTAGGAGCTGGTAGCTATCACTGATCTTAGCTACTCAGGAGTCTGAGATCTGAGAATCTCATTTCAAAACCAACCCAAGGAGGAAAATCCATGAGACTCCTATCTCCAATGAACCACCAAAATGTCAGAAGTAGAGTCATGGCTCAAGTGGTATAAATAAATGTATTTAAGAGACAAAATATTAAACTCTATCTCTACGTGTTATAATCTTGTGGGTTTGGGTTTTCAATGCTTTCTTTACCCAACGCTTTCTTTGTTTTTTATTCTTATTTTATTTTTGATGGTGTGTGTGTGTGTGTGTGATGTATAATGTTGGTCAGCTTTTTTCCTCAAGGCTGGCACTCTATCACTTGAGCCATAGTACCACTTCTGACTTTTTTGAGTAGTTTATTGGCGATAAGAGTCTCATGGACTTTCCTGCCTTGGCTTGCTTCAAACTTCAATCATCAGATCTCAGCTTCCTGAATAGCTTGGTTTACAGGTGTAAGCCACCAGTGCCCAGCTTGAGGCCTTAGTTTATTATTTAAAAAAAAAATCAAGCATGTAATTCTAGTTATTTTGGAGGCAGAGTATCAAGGTTGGAGGCCAGCCTCCCCCCCTCTCCCCCAAAAATCATGAGGTGCAGAGGTGCATGCCTGTCAATCTAGCTGGAAGCACATGCTGGGCAGTGGTATGTGCCAATTATCCCACTTACCCAAGGCTACTCAAATCAGATAACTGTAATGCAGGTCTGCCTGTGCATAATACAAGTCCAAAATATAACCAATATAATCTCAAATATAGCCAATGCAAAAAAGGCTGACAGAGTGGCTCAAGTGGTAGAGTGCCTGTCTGACAAGTGTGAAATCCTGAGTTCAGTACAGCTGATTTTAACCTATTGAATTAATTTTCCAGTGGACTAAGTGAGCTGTGTTTAAAAACTGCAGGAGATTGCCCCAGGTCATCTCCTTTCTGAGAGCACAATTTTAGTGAACAGGATAAATGACTTGCTCAAAGTTAAATTTCAACTTTCAAGGTTTCTCCCTGGGCCTTTGCCAACTGTTTCACCTTTCTACCATCCTACACTTCAGCAAATGTTGATTGAAGTTTTATGAGTTGGGAGGCTGAGTAAGAAAACAAAGATAAATGAAGTCTTTTCACAGGCTTTCAAACAGTAACTCACACGTTGACTTGGGATGGGCAGTAGGTCTTTATTGAAAATTGCAGAAAGCACTCTAGAGTACATTCAGCTCTGGCTACAGATCCTGCAATGTGGCATGTCTACTTTGTTTTCCTTGGGATCCTAAGCTTAGAGAAATAACCTTTGATCCAGAATCATAAAACTAAAATGTGCAACTCTGTACATGGGGACAGGATGCATTCCAGAGAATTACTGGTGGACCATCACCTCCCAGATTTGAGGTCCGAACTATTTTCCATTTTATTTTTCATTTCTCTTTTCTTCCACTTAAAATGTCTACTTAGAAACCCTCAGCTTCCTGTCCTTATATGCTGACTAAATTATTTTCATGTTTCCCCAGTGCTAAGAGAAAGCACATACAAGAAGAATATGAACAGAGCAATATCCAGGTTAATACAGAGGGGTCTGACCTCATTTTATAGCAATAGCAAAAGTTAGGGCAAGGAGAATAGTTAATTTTTAATTTGTTATAAGGATATTTATGCTAACTAGTATAGTGATGTCAGGGTATAGGATGTAGTATTCTATTTAGGATTCTATTATGTTTTTATGTTATCATTAGGAATCTATTATCCCTTTTGGTTAAAATAGAATTGGTTTTGTCATGGAATTCCAGGTTTGGAAAGAATTTTAACTCATGTACTGTCCCTGACTTATTATAGGTGCTCAGTAAGTGTATATTAGATTATCAAAACACCTCTATTTCAAGTGGTTGTTTAATTTCTCCTTTTGTGTATATATGTGGGGGGGGTGCTAGTTCTGGGGCTTGAACTGAGGACCTCATGCTCTTTCTTGGCTTTTTTCACTCCAGGTTGGTGCTCTATCACACCTCCCCTTCCAGCTTTTTGCTGGTTCTTTGCAGATAATAGTTTCATGGGCTTTTCTTCCCAGCCAGCTTCCAACCATATTCCTCAAATCTCAGCCTCCTGAGTAGCTAGGATCATAAGTGTGAGCTACCAGTGTCAGCTTAGTTTCTCCTTACCTTTCCAATGGGAGTAAATCTATAATTTCCCAAAGCAGAGAGCCTTAGAGTTGTTAGGTATGAAATGCTCCTCTAAAAGACTAATTTATCGAGAACTGGGTCACTAGCTCGTGGTGTTATTGAGAAGTGACTAGTTCATAAGAGCAGTAACCTTATCAGTGGATTAATCCATGAGTTCATAGCCGAATTGCCATTAGAAAGTAGGGCCAAGTTGGAGGAAGTAAGTCACGCAGGGGATCTTTGTTTGAAGGCTATATCTTCAAATGAAGACCTTTTCCCCCCATCTCTCTTTCTCCATACCTATCTCCATATCTATCTTTTATCTTTCAGTCTAGTCTTTATGTTAATGTCTGTATCTGTCTATGCCTATATATCATCTATATCTATATCTATCTGGCTGCTAGCTCTCTTCTAGCAATCCCTTTCAACCATGGAATACTTCACCATAGGCCCAGAAACAACAGAGCAAAGTCACCACAGACTGAAACCTAGGTTTAAAAACCTTGAGTTTTGCCATGTGCTCATTAATTGTATTAGTGCTGTGTAGTTCTTTTCTGTGGCAGTCTAATATGCATAGTAATGTAGAATATCTGCCCTGATTATCACCAGTGCAATTCAGGCAAACATGGAAAAGAAGCTTATCTAAGTGGACTTGGGTAGTTTATACCTGTACTCCTAGCTACTCAGGAGCCCAAGATCTAGAAGATTGCAATTTGAAGCCAGTCTGGGCAGGAAAGTCTATGAGACTTCATCTCCAATTAATCAGCAAAAAGCTGGGCTGGACTCATCGGTCAAGTGGTAGAGTACAAGTTGAAAAAGCAGGAGCAATTCTCCAGTAATGTTCCCCTCCCCACACCAAAAAAGAAAAAGAGGAGGAGGAAGAGGTAGAGGAGGAGGAGGAAGACAAAGATGAAGAAAAAGATGAAGACAAAGATGAAGATGAAGAAGAAGAAGAAGAGGACAATCTCA